GGTACATTTTCTAAATAAATAATAATTGTTTATCTAGTTATTTTGATAATTGGAAAGCAAAAAGGCTTGTAAAGTGCTTTCTTACTCTTTACTTTTTGTGTCTCACTTACGTAAAATGTGAACGGTTTGAACCTATTATTTTGAAGCACTATAAATGTTATTATATTATCGTATAGATTCTAAAATAAATGCATTCTATTATATCGATTACATCAAAAAGTACAAAAATTGAAGCCAATTATTACATTGGTTGTTGTCTTCATTGTCATTCAGAAACTATTAAAAATAAAAATTCAGCTATACTTTTTTTCATGTTCTCTGTATAAGATCTGACGTAATTTGACTAATATTTCCTAATAGGTAGGTAGATAGAAATTTAATTCTGAAGAAGTTTAAGTAAATATGAAAAGTGATAAATTTCGTGGAGCGATTTCTTTATTGTTGTTATGAATCAACTTGGAAAGCTAGTACAGTTACGTTGATATGAACTCCGACCCATCAAAAGATAACGTTTATGTACTTAAATAGTTATTAACATATAAAATACTTCTATTGCGGATAATAATCGTGTTCGAATATCTTTGTGTAGAACTTGTACTATTTTAATTGTGAAATTCGTGTATTCTCTAAGTCAGATCTTAGAGTGAAATGGCAAAATTGTTGAGCGCAGTAATAGTGGTATTTAGTGTAGGAAATCTTTGCTCAACTGTAAGTAACGTATTACATAGATTTTATTTTATTCATCTGCAATGCTTCGAAATGTTTTTCTTATTTGAAGATATACGTGCCTGGTCAAAATCCAAACAAAAAAGCTTTGACAACTTTAGGTATAAAAACGTTGGGATGGCAAGATCCAGAGAAACACAACAATTTGCTCATACACCATAATTACAGTAAAGTTTTGAATCAAAACGAAAATGATAATGAACATACAACCCACAATATAATTACATATAAGCAACTGCCGCGTATTTTGTCATGGGCAATGTTAAAAAATATCACTACCACAACATCATATAATGACGACAGTGGTGATACAACTGAAGAATATCGGCCACAACAAACTAGAAATCCAGAATTTCGGACGAAAGGCTTTAGACCATATCATCAAAAAACACATTTTCCTCCTAAACGCGGAGATCACAATGATGATAACGATGACGAAAATGGTACCACTGAACTTTCACCTTCCGAAGATTATTCGGAAACTATAGAAAATGAAAGTGAAAGTACTTTCGATCAAAAAGTGAGTGATGTAGAAGACACAGAATTTACAACCACAATAAGAAGTCCATCACAACATCTTTTGCCGCCCAAATTTACAAACAGGAAGTCAAAACAATTTCACAGTTTTATTACATCAAGCCATCGACATACTGAAGTAACTACTGAGTTAACATATTCCAATTTTCCATCAACTCGCTATGGATATGTACCAAGCAATAGTAATAGGTGGATTCCAATACATTCTCAAACAAAACCCAGTTGCTATAACGGTGATTGTGGAAGTGATTCAAATGAAGAAGTTTTACGACCTCAATGTGTTCGCAACTGTGGCATTCCTGAAAAGATTCAAGTGGTCATGGAGGCGGAGAACCAAAACCAACATGTATCCAACACTTTCGAAAAAGAATTGAAAAAGGAAGTCATTCCACCTGGAGAAGAGGATGAGCTGCATGTCTCTGGTACTTCAATATATGAAACAACTATCAAGAAAGCTCCTGTACCCTATAACAAATGCCCCAAAATGGCTTCAGGACAGTTTGTGTATGCACTGTCTTGTAATCAATTTTTGAACTGCTGGAAAGGTCGTGGTTTCGTTCAAAACTGCGCACCCGGTACAATGTTCAATCCGATGACGCTAGAATGCGATTTCGCTCACAAAGTGAAATGTATAAGTGGCCCGAGAACTACAGAAATGCTCGAAAATAATAGAAAAAGCAAATCTGAAAAGCTCGAAATAACTTGCCCCCCAGATTTTAATGGTTTCATTCCACATCACACCGACTGCTCCAAATTTATTAACTGCGTAAATGGTTCTGAAGATATACGAGATTGTCCTCCAGGAACCCTCTACAGTACAAAGATTAACAACTGTGACCATCCACATAATGCAAATTGCGCACATTGGACAAAGGGTCCGCATCATTCTCACAATGGGCATCACAGTCACCACAATTTGAAGCCATTAGGTTACAGGAGACCCTATATTTATACAACTCAATTTCGCTTACCACAGACGGTGATAAAGGCTTACTGTAATAAATATCCGTGCGAATCTCAAGATGGTCACCATAGCACTTCAGTAAGTCATAATAATAATACGCCTTTTGGCTACAGGGAAATTCGAACAGAAGGCAATGATCAGTTAAGAACGAACCGTTCGAATCAACTTTCGTCCAATGAATGGATTGGTTATCCTCCTACTCATCAGATACACTCAAATCCAAAATGTCCAGAAGGAGCTGTGGGAGTTCATCCTCACCCCTTCGACTGTTCTAAATTTCTAAACTGTGCAAATGGTCAAACATTTGTTCAGGATTGTGGTCCCGGTACATTATTTAATCCTGTTATTAAGGTTTGTGACTATCCATACAACGTTCACTGTGTTAGTCATGAGCAGAAGGCAGGAGAACCTCAGCCAACAGACAAAAGTACTTATCTAACCAAGCCTGCGTCGTCCCAAAACTGGCAAGAAGTTGTAAATGCTGAGGACTGGAGAGATACTTCTTCGACTTCATTACCTATACATAGAGCACACCAATTTCCACAGCAAAATTATTATTATACTACATATGGAGGAAGAAATCCGCGTCCTCAAGCAAATCCTTTAAGAGTTCATCAACAATTACCTGAACAACAAAACACCTATTATTATCATCTTGGGAGTACCCCTCATAGTTATGGCATTAGTCGAGAACTTCAACCTCCTTTTCCGGAACATAATGTTGCTTTGAAGCCTGCATTCCCAAAATACACCATTAACCGAGAACTTCAACTACCTACTGTAGATTCCACAATTCGCGGGAGTACTGAAGCGGGTTTCACTATTCATCGGGAACTTCAACCTCCTATTGAGGATTCTAGTACTCAACACAATTTTCGACCTGTATCTCCGCAATATACCATTAAGCAGGAGCTTCAACCTCCTTTTGAAGATTCGAATACTCAGAGACCACTCCAACCACTATATCCTCACTACACCCCTAACCAACAACTTCAACCACCCGTTCACCATTCCAGTACTGGCCAAAATATCCAATCAGTGTACCGGAGTTACACTATTGATAGGGAACTCCAGCCTCCCTTTAGGGATTTCAGTGCCAATAGGAATTCTCATCCTGTAACACCGGGTTATACTATCCATCAGGAACTTCAGCCTCCTTATGAAGATTATAGCACTCATCGAAGTTCTCAAACTCCAAAATCGGTTTATAGTATTAATCAGGAACTTCAGCCACCTTTTCTGGAATCTACTTCAGAAGGCTCACCAGACGGTTATGAATCAAACACTGACAATAATTTCCAAGGCCAAATAGAAGAGGAGGAAGAAGATATGGCTTCCAGTCAAAAACATGATTGGAGAATACCTCCGTCATCTACTGTTAGTTCAAGAAAACATCTTCGTCCCCTTCCATTAGATGGAAGAAGGAGGAATGGTTCTTGTTCCTTGAAATCCTTTTGGTGTGCAGATGAGGAAGAGTGTGTACCTTCCAGTATGGTTTGTGACGGTTCGAAGGTACGTAAAATGACAAAGAAATAGATATATTAACTACCAACTAGAGGCGTTGATCGTATCAAAGAAGTAGTTGAATGTATATTCATTGTTCAGTAATATTATACTACATTTCTAAATCAACAGGACTGCTCTGATGGAAGTGACGAAATTAACTGTGAAAGATACTTAGAAAAATATGCTATGACTCCAAATGCCAAGTTAGGTGTTCATCCTAAGGAAAAATTTCCCAATATAAGTTTACCTAATTGTGCAAAACTCTGTACTGAAATGGAGGGCTTTGTATGCAGATCATTTTGTTATAGGTACGATTTTCAGAATTTAGAAAATCCAGAGGTATAGTTCGGTATCTAAAAATTGAAAGAAGATTATACTAACGATAAAAGACGATAAAATTTATCAATTAGTTAAAGTATTTATGAAATTTTGATATGCCAAAAATATTGCAGATTACCCTTTCTGTTTCTTTCTATAGCGAATTGAAATAATAAATTAGTTTGGGTGATCATAGACTTTCAAATTTTATAAGTAATACGATGTTAGTAAATAAAATAAAAAATATTTATAATTTTAAATTAATCCCTTATTATTTAAATAATTGCATAGTATGTATGCTATTCTATCTTTTAGAAAAGACAATGGCGGAGTGTGTCTTCTAACGGATACTAACGTAGGGCTATCTGGTGCTATCATTCCTTCTTCCGCATACAGTTATTATGAATCAATGGAACACGTCGTTGATTGTACCAATAAATATATATGTAAAAACCAAAAGTGTATTGACCAAAATAAAATTTGCGATGGGATAAACGATTGTGGTGGAAGAGAAGACGAGAAAGGATGCAGTAAAGAAGATTTGGATTACGAAGTACGACTTGCCGGCAGTGAACATCCCTATGAAGGACGAGTAGAAGTTAAAGGTAAGATGTGTAATGATGTGCAGTGTTAGCTTCTACAATTTTTCTATGAATGTGTACAAAAGGTAGGTCAGTGTTTGGAGAAGAAATGTTTGAAAAGATCAATTTTATGGAAGGTAATGCCAACATGATTTGTTTAAAGCTAAATCAACACTCAACGACAATTGCTTCGATCTTATCAGTCATTTTAATTAATAATCTACTGAACTAAACATGTTTCAAATCTGTAGTTTTCAACAAAAGCAAGTGAAACAGGTTAAATTTCTGGATGACCTTGCGTGTCCCTTTTGCCTACCAGCAAACGTTTTACCATGAATAGGAACGGGAACTTTAGGTCATTCCATATCATGGTCTGATTCAACAGTTTGAGACCAAGGGGCTTTTTGCCTCCTTGCTGCTTCATTAAAGCCCTGTTTATGAGCATATTCCTGGTAGCTTTTTGTTTTATATAAATCTTCATGTCAATATGGGAAATTCATTAGAATAATTCAATTGGCTGATTCTGTAAATTACCAATTTTAACGCTTCTGTATTGTATAAGATGCAGGATTTCTATTTCCATTTTTTTAGTACTTATCTGTAAAGTGATAAATGCAATATCTGTTGTCATTTGATGGTGTATTTTAGTGTTTGGAAAATGGGGCTACATTTGTGATGATCAATTTGGGCAAACTGATGCAGATGTGGTCTGCAAAGAATTAGGTTATGAAATGGGCGCATTGGATGTAAAAGGTAACAGCTACTATGGGGATGACTTAAATGATAATAACACTTTCTATCTAATGGATGACGTTTCTTGCTTGGGTAACGAAACATCATTAAGGGATTGTAACTTCAACGGTTGGGGAATTCATAATTGCGAAGATCAAGAAGTAAGTGCAATTTCCTATGCCTTTATACATAGCTTTTAAAGTTGGTGGGCCTATTAGATGACTAGAAAAAAGTCGAAAGATTTCGAAATTGAAAATTAAAGACCTATACTTACACTTAATTACATAACCATAGCTAATAAATTGAAAGTTGTACACTTTTGAATGTTTGAATATATTTTTAAACGCATCAAAACAAATTGTTATTAACTAGCTTATCAATAAAATTTAAGAAGCAACTTATTTAGACAGTGTAATGCTCTTAAATGCAGTAAGTGGTCAGAAGAAAATGCATTTTAAATTAAATAGCTGTCTTATTTTAAAAGAAAACACGCTCCCGCCATTATTATTAGGGGTAGAGCAATGGGGCGTAAAGTCAGGGACCCGGGTTCGATTCCCGGAGAGGACATGATAGCAGCAACTATTTTTCTCATTAGTTTGAAGTTATCTCTTGTGATAAAAATTAATTTACATTAATTTTAATGCATTGACAATCCTAAAAAAATTTCGTCTCAAAAATTGTCGCGCTTCTAAAATTTTGCCGTCTTAAGCTCAGCCCTCACGGGCCTAAGCGTAAATCCTGCACTAAACATCACCACCACAAAATGTGCAAAATAATAAATAACTAGAGATGTGCAAAATGTTGTATTTTGTATTTTAAATGCTTTATTGCAAAATAAGTATTTTCAAAATACTTTTTTGAAGTAGCTACCTATTTAATTTTCTATATTTACTTCGTCTTAAAATGTTTTTTAAGAAACCATACATGCATTTACTCATTTTTTAAATATGGGAGTTTGTCTAAAAACACTAATGCCAAAATAGTTTCTCTAGCATGAAAGAACAGAGCCAAAATAGGGTTGCAAATAATTCTATATAAAGATACTTACAACCCCATTTCGTTTCTGATCTTTTACATATTGTAATAAGAGAAAGAAATGGAATCCATACTTTCTTTAGCTTTGGGTTCATCTAAGTTCTTCTAAGTGAAGATTTTCGAAACGTTTTTTAAGAATTTTGGATTATACGCATTTATTAGAACACCACAATATCTTGTAGTTTTCAGTTTTACATAGCTGACGTAGATCCATTCGATATTGAATTTGCGAGCTGTTTCGTCATTCATAGAATTTCGTAATTCCTAGCTAAAGGTAGGATAAGTGGTGATTTGGTAGGTGTTGATATCAATTTGGAACTTCAAAATTCCATGGACCATGACATTTAACCATTATTTTAGATTTTCCATTTTCAAGTTTAGAAATTTTTGAGCTCTGTTCAGTTAAACAATTAGAAGACATTCATGGAATTTCTCTTTGTCTCCTTCTCAAGCTTCTAATACCTTCAATGGTCAATGTTAGCAACTTTCATTCGTCATTTCATATAGTTTTTGCATTTTACAGATAAAAATTGGAAAGGCACATTACATAAAATACAAAATGCTTTTCTCAAAAAAGTATTTAAATGCAAGATAAAAATAGGTATTTTTTATTTTGTATTTGCATTTTAAATACAAGTATTTCAAATAAATCATATCTCTGTAAAAAACCAGTTTATTGTTAGCTTCTCATTTTAACCAACTTGTCAAATGATTAAAACTTTTCTAAAACGTCTAATAGGCCATCAAACTTCAATTATGACTCATGAAACAAAGGCCGTTATAATATATTTTAATCAGAATATTAAAGAAATTAAAGAAGTGTTTCTATTTCCATGTACCTATATGTTAAGATGTATCTTCTTGAGAAACGGTTTGAATTGTAGTGAAGTAATATGTTTCTAATTCAAATTTAAATGACCATAAATATGCTGAGTGTACGTAACCATGGCCCATTTTTCTACGTTCTTTTATTTGATAGATTGTCGGAGTCGTCTGTAAAACACCACAAGAAAAGTGTTCCAGTGACTCATGGCAATGTGCAACAGGTCAGGAGTGCATCCCTTTCATTTTCGTTTGTGATGATGTGTACGATTGCAAAGATCAGTCGGACGAAAGTAGCGAACTTTGTAAGGTAAGGACGCCAATTTCCTCTTAATTTCAATGTTGGAAAAAAGAGCTTACCCATAAGGGCAAAGCTCGAAAAAAAAATGCAAAATACAAAAATGAACTGACGAATTTTAACAACCCTTCAAGATTTATAGTTATACCTGACACACGTAATACAACAAAAGTACCTACTAAAGAGATATATACATGTAGGTTAGCACTTTTAGGAATTTTATTGCAATTCTTTAGGTTTTTGGATTTTTTTAGTAAACGGGCAACACACTTTAGGTTTGAAAATACCACAAATGGCGCGGTAAACGCCATCTGTAGCACGATGCTACATTTTAGGATTACGTATACTCCAACAAGGTCCATTTAAATATATGGATATCTACTTGCTGAAACGAATCCCGGCGTAGCTAACCTCAACGTGATAGGCACGTTACCATAATCGAATAAAATAATTCGAAGTGGTCTGTATTCTGTCGAAACTGCCAGACGCGGATCGCGATTTCGATCTTTTTGGATCTCATCAGCGCGTCGCAGACAGCTCCGACAGAACACAGACCAACTTTCACCTGCTGCCTTAACAGCGCGTTTTAGAAAATATCACAAATGGCGCAGTAAACGCCATCGACAGAATACACATCATTTCGAATTATTTTATTCGATTATGGTAACGTGCCTATCACGTTGAGGTTGGCTGCGCCGGGATTCGTTTCAGCAAGTATATATCCATATATTTAAATGGACTTTGTTGGAGCATACGTAATCCTAAAATGTAGCATCGTACTACAGATGGCGTTTACCGCGTCATTTGTGGTATTTTCTAAAACGCGCTGTTAATGCAGCAGGTAAAAGTTGGTCTGTGTTCTGTCAGAGCTGACTGCGACGCGCTGATGAGATCCAAAAAGATCGAAATCGCGATCCGCGTCTGGCAGTCTCGACGGAATACAGACCACTTCGAATTATTTTATTTTACACCTTAGGTTCTTTTGGGATATTGAAAAGGTGCTCTGTGCACTTCATCATTACAACGTCGTCAGGCCAAAGACCCGCTTCCTTCATTTTTCTGCGCTTATAATCGCATTGTTTGATAACTGGAACATACCACAACCTTAACTCTTGACAAACACTAATTTAGTCTTGATCTTCTTCGGCCCCTTTTTATTGCAGTTTCTGATTCCAATACCTCTCTAACTATTCCCACCAGACTGTCTTCACATCCTTATTGACTTCCAAAGTATCTTCTTTTCTCCTACTTTCTCCAACACCCCTTCGCCTTATCTATCTCTATCTCTAAGTACAGTATTTTCACCATCCCTTTAATAAGACCCCATCTCCCCATCTTATATGTTTCTTTTTTGTCGCGCTTGATACAGTACCTACAGAGCCGTGCTTCAGACATACCGAGTATGCTTTTAATACCTTTTTTCGGAATTCAAATAAACCGTTCCAGAGCACAAAAGTTGTTTCTATTTATTAAGTGTGACGCTACCGTGGGCTATTGTTCCTTTTACGTATCTGCTAATTTCCAACTTGAGTTATTTGACTTCCTAGTTGTCGAAAAGGGGCGACTTATTTCCAGAAAAAAGTCAGAAACTGCTTTCAGACTTATACGTTTCTATGAATGTTTTTCAGTAGGTACTTTAATTGTATTTTTAGTACATCTTAGACGAACAACAATCTGCCTCCTTTCAAATTACTCTTTTAGTTTGTGGTTTTTTTTTCCATTTAACTTTATATCTTCAAACAGCCATAATCAATAATAGATTGCTTAAAGGAAAGAAAATAGAGTTGCATCGTTGTTTAATATTTCTCATATTTGGCAGGGAAAATGTACCTACATACAGTAGCATGTTGTCGGTCAGCAGATAAATGGAGCGCGATTTTAAGAACAAATAATAATGGATTAACCTACTTTTCGCTTATTTTTTGGTAAAACTACTACCAAAGAGTACAAAAACGAAAGAAAAACATCATTCATACTTTAACTGCTTTCCTTTTAATGAACTGATTCATTAGTCAGTAATGAATAGTCGCAGTTCATAAGAATTGGTATTAGTTCTATGCTCTAAACATTTTTAAATGGCTATTTAATAGGCTCCAACGGAAATCAGACTTGTAGGAGGACGATCAAATAGGGAAGGACGGATAGAAGTGAAATATCATGGTATATGGGGGTCGGTTTGCGATGACGATTTCAACGACGATGCAGCGAAAGTTGTTTGCAAATCTTTGGGATATTATGGTAGAGCATCTGCCGCCAAAGATGGCTACTTTGGCCCAGGTAAAATCATCAATAACCCCATTGGTATTTTTTGATCGTGTAAAGTGGTTGTTGTAATCTCCTAGGGGAAGGTCCAATTTGGTTGGATCAAGTGTTTTGCCAAGGAAATGAAAGCAAACTCGAACAATGTCAACATTGGAATTGGGGAGAACACAATTGCGAACATTCTGAAGATGTTGGAGTTATTTGCAACAGCTATGATATATCAGGTACTTATTGATTTATAAATGGCATGTTTTTTTCGAAAATATGTTAGTTTAAACGGAATTTATTGGTTTATTTAGGAAGTGAAAGGAACGCCAAATTTAACGACGACGCTTTAGAAAATTTTCTTCCCTCGTCAGCTCTTCCGAAACGATGTGGATACAGAAATGACGACATCTTCCTAGAAAATGATTCTATTCATGAAAGAGTGGTACAAGGGTCTAAAGCTCGAAGAGGAGATTATCCCTGGCAGGTAAGTTTTTAACTTTTATTTTCAAACTATAGTACACCCGTAGGAAAAATTTCCATTCAATTTCCATTAAAAAAATGCCATTTAATTACCACTGATAGTAATTAATGGTAATACATGGAGAATTGCCAATGGGATTCTCATTCCTGAACTCAATGGGCGTTGAGCAATGGAAATCCCATTGCGTTCCATTGGAACTTCATCAGCATGCTTCTTTCCATAATCCATATTATTTTGTTGAGAATTTGGTTCTTCAGGTACCTGAACCAAGGCACATGTTTGGCTCTTCATCATTGTGTTTAGATTTTTTTTTCACTTGCTTCTGATAAAACTACATCACTCTCACAGATGACTTCGGCCTCCTCTATATTCTGGCATGGTTCAAAATCATAAAACAATGCTTCTAATGTAGGCTTATTCACTTGTCTAGGGGTTGTTTAATAAAAGGCTCCGGGTAGTTGAATACATATATAATAAACATAATAATGAATATAAACAGCAAACAGCAAAACGAGTAACAAACAGGAACTAAATATATACAACTTATATACAATATTCAATGTATCGCGTCTTCCAAAATACATACGTCTTCGTGTAATCACCATAAATACGTCCTCCGTCTTTTTTGAGCAAAAATGCTCAATGTCTAAATGAAATATACTTGTACCGTTTTAATCAAACGTCTTACTACCTTGCTTGTCTCTCACTCTACTGCCGTGGTGGTCCCTCACGTACCCCAACATGCACGCATAGGTAAAACTAGATTATTGATTTTCCGCCACCTAATTGGCAATATCACTACTCTTGCACCTGGGCAAGCAAAAACTGTATCGAAAAAGGCTAATAGTATGTGGCCATTAATGGTTATAATAAACGAATTACCCTAAACTATTCGTAAGAATAATATAATATCAGCGGGTTTATGACTTGGAAATAGTGGATGGATATATTTTTGAGACCATTTAATAATATTCAATTTAAATGTGTACGCATGCAAATATCTCATTCAGAATTAAATAACATACAAACATTAATCACACCTATTGTTAATCGTTTCGAACGAGACTGATGAAACTAAAATCCATGTAACGAAACAGATTTTATAAATAAATAATTCAAAAACCAAAAAATATTTCATTTCTTAATTAATTATTTCATTGGAATTCTTTGGGAAATAAAACTTTTCCATTCATATCTAACGATAAGAATATTAATGGAATTATTCAAAATGGAAACAATTGATTTTCTATTTATCTATCTATTTATTTATGAATGGTTTTATATAGAATTAACAAATTTTGCATTGGTTCCCATTGAAAATCAATGGAAATTTTTCCTATGTAAATATTAATGGAATTATATTGTAAATGGAAATAATTATTTTTCCATTTATGCCAAATGGTTTTGAATGGAATTTACAAATTTTCCATTGATTCCCATTGAAATACGGGCAGTCTGGGCAAATGACATTCTGAAAGTACCTATTCTCTTGGACATCGAATCACTAATTGCATTGTTCTAATTCGGGTCTAAGAGCCGTCGTCGGCTGGGGTTGCCTCCTAACGTATCGCTAGCATGAGTGGCGATCTTCTGCAGAGGTCTTTCCATCTCCAATGCTGGAAGATTGTATCCATGTTTGTTGTTTTAGCGTTGGTTAGAATTGTAAATTTGCTGGACTATTAAAAACTAACGTTACATCAGAGTTGTCATTATAACCGATGTCGTTATAACCAAGTTCCACTATAATAATTGTTTTAATATCGATTTGTTTCTCGATCAAGATTTTTCAATATGAGCGGACCGTCAATCAAAATCGATAATTTTTGAAAAATTTAGTTAGAAATCGCTAAATCCCTTCTGTGTATCCAAACAACTTAGTTAAAATGACTTTTCAGGCTAGTATTCGTGTCAAGAACAAGTTTAAGTCGTCTCACTGGTGCGGAGCGGTTGTTATATCCGACAAATTCGTTCTGACAGCCGCCCACTGTCTTGATGGATATCAAAAGGGATCGTATTTCGTTGTGGCCGGAGATTATAATGTAGATCTTGACGAAGGAACTGAACAAGAAGCATTCATTGATGAGTACTACGTCCACGAAGGGTTCCGGAAAGGAGGCAAAATGAACAACGACATCGCCCTTGTGAAACTAAAAGGCAAAGGGTTTATTTTAACTAAAGACGTCCAACCAATTTGTCTTCCTGAAAAGGATGCCGAGTATATTCCGTGGATGAATTGTACCATATCCGGATTTGGTTCGACGAAAAGCGGAAAATCGGGTAAGCTGATATATTCTCGTATTACCTATTGCTTTTTATTTTGACTGAAACTCTCTTAGAACAAACAGAATAGCTCAAAACCCCAACGCCAAAACAAGACACTGTAGTTGTCCGAAGCACTTTTCGGTAACAAAGTTACCTTCTTCAGGGACTGAAGAAAGTTTTGAGCTATTCTGTTTGTTCTACAACAACCGCCAAAGTTTTTCCAATCTTCATATTTTGAAACTCTCTTGCATGTTTAGCATATTCACGAGATTTAATGGCAACATGGGTACCAATTCAAGCCGATCCTGTTTGCAAAATGCCACACGTTTATGGTACTGCAATAACAGATGGAATGGTGTGTGCCGGATATTTGGACGAAGGACAAGATGCCTGTGATGGAGACAGCGGTGGGCCTCTAGCGTGTTTACATGAGGGTAAGAAAAAAGACTTTTCACTTATCCAACTATAACGCATAATTTTGTTTTCTTCCTCATTGACAGTAACTCAAAAAACGTGTTTCTTAAATTGTTATAAAATGTTTATAATTCTTTTGTTTGTCAATGCTATCATTTGATTTTATCAATTTTTGAATTTTTAATAATTGTAAAACATCAAGAAGAATATGTTTTTCTCTGTGCTATGCGTTTAATGGTTTCTAAGTAAGGAAAACGCATGTAATAGAACGACATATGTTCGAAAGGGGCTTTTAGTAACTAAAATCAACATGCTACAAGTTTAAATTAAATCCTTTCCATAACCAAAACCATAAAATTTCTGAACCAATCTGCTTAGCATGTTATCTGTCTATTGCAATGCTGGTACTTGTTCAGAAATGGTTTACTTAAATTTGATGAGTTACGACAACTTATCAAGAGGAATTTTCTTATCGCACGTTACCTAACCTAACCTAACCTAACCTAACCTAACCTAACCTAACCTAACCTAACCTAACCTAACCTAATCTAACCTAACCTAACCTAACCTAACCTAACCTAACCTAACCTAACCTAACCTAACCTTAGCTAACCTATGTAGCAAAAATCAGCTCCAATTATTATTCCGAAGTATTTTATCTGAAATTTCCTTATACTTCCCTGAAGATTCTTATAACGAAAAAGGGATATTTAAACAAAAAAAAATTATTTGGCATAATGAAAAAATACTTTTTTTTCTCTGGTTATTCACAAGTAGGTATTTAAAGACATTTTTAAAGTGCAAGTAACCTTTAAACAAAAAGAATTTAAATTTTTTTATAAATTAAGTAAAAATATCCTTTCGTTTATTTGTAAGTTCGCTCTAAATTTCCTACGTCTAGGGAAAATTTTCATAGGTCATGCAACGCTGCCCAAAAATTGAATGTGGTTGTTGAAATCTCCCTTCCTCCAAGTTACTGCTAGTAGAGGGAGAGGGAGAAAGCCGACGAGATAGATTCGATTAGTCTGCCATCTGGTGAATATATTCAATAGTCATTTTAAAAAACTTCCTGTTACTAATGACCGACAGTCCTAAAATTGTCATTCCGAAATATTGTGAATAGAAAGCGCCTACGGAACGAATATGTAGTTGTTTATTGTCATTTTTTTCTTACAAAATACCTTGACCAAAATTTATAATTAATAGATATTTGTCATAAGAAACATCGTTCCTACAGGGTGTCGTATGACACCACACACGTTATTATATATATTTCATCATCATAAGGTCGTCAGTCCTATGACTGGTTGGACACGCACTTCCACTCTTTCCTATCCTGAGCTAATCTTAGCATTTCCCCAAAGCTAGAACAACCCACATCCTTAACTATTTCCGAATAGTAATCTAATCTAGGTCTACCTCTAACCCTCCTAACTCCCGTTTCTGCATCTAATATATCTCTGACTAGACCTTCATGCCTGAGAAGGTGTCCTACTAACCTATCTCGCCTATTTCTTATTGACTTCCATATGTTCTCCCATTCTTTCTAATACCTCATCATTTCTAACCTTCTCTATCCACGGTATCTTCATCATTCGCCTGTAACACCACATTTCGAACGCTTCTAACCTTTTCTTTTCCACCACGCCAACCGCCCATGTTTCGCACCCGCCAGCACCGCGCTACAAACATACACCTTTAACAATCTTTATTATTTTTTTATTACAGGGTATTTTTCTCTATATGGAATCACGTCTTGGGGTCAACGATGTGGTTTGGCAAATAAACCAGGTGTGTATGTGAGAGTCTCCCATTACAGGGAATGGATCGAGAAAACCATGGAGAAACATTCTCTCTCATAGTAATTAATTCAAATATATATATATACAATATTGTATATCTTCATATATTAATAGATTGTGTTAATTGTTATTTATTAATGCTATGTAACATTTTGACTACTACAATGTGGTTCTCTTTAACAAAGAACATAATATTTATTTTTCGTTCTTTTTTGTGTTAAAAGTTAACGATAAAGAAAACGTTTAAATATATAGATTTATTTACTACAATTTCGAGAATATATGCTTATGAACTTAAGAACCATTACATATAAAGATTGGAAGCTGCTAAACATATAAATTACATTTATTTTATTAGCGCTTAATTGAACTTCGTTATTATACCGTATGCGAAAGAGCGGATCTAGATCTGGGTATACGGAATCGGCACTTTCGCATACGGTATATGTGTCTACTTATTATTGTTAGTTTATGAGAAGTACCTGGTTGTAAATACAATAAATAGTTGTCAATATTACAAACATGTTTTACTTATTTTAAATACCTATGGAGTTCAGTAGCTTGATGTGGAAAAAATAAACCTCTATTTATACTTGCAAAATAGGCACATTGGCATTCTGCAACAATGTAAGCGAAAATAATTTTTTCAAATAATTATCTATGTCATCATCATCAGTCCTAGAACTGGTTGGACACATACCTCCACTCTTTCCTATCCTGAATTAAACTTCGAATCTCCCTAAAACTAGAACAACCCACATCCTTAACTATTCGCGAATAGTAATCTAACCTAGGTCTACCTCTACCCCTTCTAACTCCTGTTTCTGCCTCTAATATGTCTCTGACTAGACCTTCATGCCTGAGAAGGTGTCCTACCAACCTATCTCGCCTATTTTTTATTTACATCCATACAGTCCTCTGTTTTCCTACTCTTTCTAATACCTTTGCATTTCTAACATTTTCTATCCACGATATCCTCATCATTCGCCAATAACACCACATTTCGAAAGCTTCTAACCTTTTCTTTTACGCCGCGCCCACTGTCCATGTTTCGCACCCGTACAATGCCGCGCTCCAAATATACACCTTTAGGCAGAAATTAACGCAAATTCGATAGTTCTGGTTACTGTGAAAATTATAGAACTTCATGAAGTCATTGAAAAAGACAAAGAAAGTTTCTAACCTAGTTAGTATCAGAAATTTCATCAGTTTCACTAAATCAGCTAAATAAAAGAAGTTCCTAGAACCAATGAATGACTCATGTTAAACTATGTACAAAAAGTTTAGTGCGTGAACGGGGATCGAAGGACTAAACACGGACAGTCGATTCGGAAACGCTAACGAAAAGACTACCCTTACCTGATAACCGGTAAGAAACCCAAAGTGTTGATGGCATCAGCTCCTGGTCAAGATGATTGTAACGCTGCTATCAACGTACAACCCATTTCAATTTGTTTGAATTGTGATCTATAAGAAATCTGCGCGAAGATAGAAAGAATGCACACTAGGCGTGAGCAAGACAGAAATAGTTGGAACAAGCTTGAACGAGCAGAGCTCTCGATGGGCGGTCTTAGGAGATCGGCTAGAACTGTACAGTACTAGACGAAAATGTTTAGCAATTTCTCAAAACAAAAATGTATATAAATTCATAATAGAAAACAAAGCAAAAATTTTATAGGTGAGTAGAGCGTTAAGTTAATTCAGTTGTGATCATTTTTGGCTTAATATGCTTTTAAAAAAAGCATATTCTTAAATTTTAACGAGGCAGTTTAAATAAATTTGCGAATGGTACTGTACACTTTTGTCTAGTTCTCGCTCGATGATGGGTGGAGAAATGAGCTTCGCAGACAAACATGATTGAATTTGGAATTATGCTACGCCGTACGGCGCATTCTAATAAAGGGAAGGGGCATATCTCCAACTTCTTGAAACGAACAGTACCTAAGGGATTTTGTTAACTATTAAAGTGTGTCGATCTGCATTGAGAGGAAGTAACTTTTTATAAACCTTTTTGTTCAATTTTTATTTGTAATGTTATCTATCTAAATTACTTGACAACTAACTAACTCTAAAACCATTTATAATTTGTATCTTTTTGAATCTCATATTTATTTTACTTTACTATTTAATAATGTTGTTATTGTTTTCCAATCTCGCCTTTCGTATCGTGTTAATACCTTGGGCCCGGTCACGACAAAATAATAAAAACATACAATAATCAGATAAATAAAATAAATAATTAACAATAAACCTAAAGTAGCAATTTACCTCGTGGCAATAGGGAATCGCATAGTGAGATAAAAAACTTTGTAAAAAAAAAACAGAAGTTGAAATAGCGGTTACAATTATGCTGGAAAATGTAAAGAGTGACGATTGTGAAACAACTAAATATCAACGGCTTACTATTAGGCTGCTAGGCTTTAATCATTTTAATTTCGTCTCTTAATTCTTGATTTTTTTTTCCGTAGTTATTTTAGATCGCCTCTTATTTCTCTTGTCAGCTTTATAAATTCATCATTTCTTATTTCAGCCTCAGACACTTTTTTTGCTTCACCTGTATACTCTTTGAATTTCAAGAATATGGATCGTTACGGGTTTCTTGCTTGATTAATAGTAGGCCCTTTAGTGTACCTATGCTTTTTTGTCATGTTAGCGCGGAAAACTCGTTTTGCGTGCTATGAAATAGGGAAGAAATGGCCTCTTTTCAGCCGTGTTTTAGTCGGGAGGCAATGAAATTAGTCTTTTGAGCGCATGCGCTCAAGTTTATGGGCATGCGCAGAAATCAGCTGTTCAATGACAAAGTCTTTCTAACCTCTAAATCATTTACTCTTATTTTATTTCGCCAACTATCAATTTAATAACGAGCTTTCCGCACAAACGTGACAAAAATAGTATACGTACCTCGGGAAGAAACAGGGTTGTCTCAGACTCCATGTTTGCAATTCACATGCAGTCTGAAATAACCCTGTTTCTTCCTTCGATACGTAATGTACTATTCTTGTTTACGAGATATACCCGAATATGCTTAAAGAAGTAATCTTTTCCATGATAATCACATAGAAAACTGAACAGTCCAATGAGTCGGTAAATATAATTTAGGTAGGTACATAATACAGATACAGAGGGAGCTTTAATTGTGTTCGGAAAGTTGCTGCGCAGTACGGGATTACGCATATGACTGCGAGTTGGCTTAATTCGTAGAATCAAAAACAAAAAAGAATTTATGAAAAATAGTATTTTTTCTCAAAATCCATATTCTTGAACTAGAGTAATCCCTCTCTAAACAATTTAAACAAGGTAATGGATAAATAATAAAAATCAAATTAAAAATAGAACGTTTACTTAATGTATAATGTCGAAAATAACAACTATTAATACTGTAAATAAATAAATATACAACAATATATGACATACAACGTACTTCTAAAAGTATTCGGTTGAGATGTTGAAGATAAAGCGGAAGCGGAACCGTTTTGTAAATCCCATTCCTTGGGAACTCTATTTACTGCCACAATTCTTCCATCGACAGTTTGAGTTATCGGACTATGTTTCCTTACATATTTTACTAAGGATTCTGAGTCAACAGGTCCAACGGTGTGGTTATTTAAATTCTGTGCAAATTCGTCTAAATTATCACCACCAGTAGCAAAAAATGAACTAATGATCACCAGATATTGTTGATCTGGGTTTATATCTTCGTATCCTGAAGGACAGGTTGGGCACTTTACTTTAACGGAATGGGCTGATTGATTTTTAAAGTCGTAAACTGCTTTCAAACCTAAAGAGAAAGTATTGATATTTATAAATATATCACAATGTCTTAGTATAAAGAATGTTAAAATTAAAACGTTTTCAAGGAAGGTTTTCTTTGTTATGCCATAAATCCACAAATTTTGTATTTTGAACAACTGAGCCAACTGTCTTTATACCGAGTTGGATAGTTTTGGTTAAGGATGGGTTTCAGTTTCACATCTACTATACGTCCAGCACATATTTCGTTTTCACAGGTTTACTGCAAATTATGATTTGGTTTTTACACAGACCGCAAATAGAGATAATGATGCCTAGACACGTGGAGAGCAGAGGTAAGAAAATAACAGCTGAGCACAGCACACGCCGCCGGGACTTTAGCGGACTCCCCGCTCTCCGCGCATTGGCCACTCTCCGCCGCTACCAACCTTTCTCTCCCTTCGCCGTTGCTGTCTCTCTCCACGCGATATACCGTCTACCCCTTTCACGCGGCCGTTACACTTTTTCGTGACAGAAAAAATCGTAATACCCCGTCTATATAGAAGTTTCCTTCAAAAAATTACAAACTTAGGGTAACTCTAGGAAGTCGACAACCCGCTTCTAATTTTTTTACTTTGTAGAGACCACCTGTGTACGGTAGCAACGTTTGTTAATGAGACGGAAAGGAGTTGTGATGTGTCAAACTGAGAAGAATGTTAATAATAAATGAGAAGTCACACGGAAGGTAGAGAGACAGCAGTCTACCATATAATAAATTCGTTATTTTTTAATAATTCTAGTAAATATACACAAGTGAAAACTATCGTTTATCAATTATTACATTTACATACTTTGTCATCAACTCCACTACGTTGAATCTTCGAGCGGCGAATGCTAATAATGATCATCATCTTGCGCGTTTCGAATTAGGTTATTTTATTATTTTGAGTTTAATTTATGTTAATAAGATAACTATTTTTCGATACTGTGGCCTGAAATTTTTATACAAAAAAAATTAATTAACCCGTCAGCGATTACCATGAGAACGTACTGGAAAACATGTTACAAAGTCCAATGTTTTCATTGATACACGGATAGTATACTGGAATTTCTTATTTTTTATAAGGAACTTGATAATTACTTACAATAAAATGGAAGTTTCTCACAAAAAAAAAATATAGAGATATGTACCTACTTCTATCAAAACGGACAACTTCAAATGAATTTATATAAAAACAGACAGTTTTAAAAATTATTCAAATTTTGGTTTTATAAGTTTCCGTTTTGTGTTGTACTGTTTTATTTACCTGAAACTTGCATTAACTGCTTCCCTATAGTTTTTGAAATTGCTGAAACGATATATTTTCCTTCTATATATCCATGATCCCAAGTATTAGAATATGGCTGCACAGTTAACAAATTTCCGTAAGTAATATCTGAAATTAGATTCACTTTTAACGCAATAAGAGAAAAAAATAGAAAAAAAATTATCATGTTATAAGTAGATTGTATTTTTTTCTTGAACTAGAGAAACATTCTTACTTCCTTTTTGGATCGAGCTTCTAATTCCACCGGCGTTGATGAGTCCAATTGGAGCATATTTTGATAATTGATTCGCTTCTGGAAATTCCTGCTCGTACTGGAAAGAAAATGATAAATATGAGGTAATTTTCATTAAAATTTTAAGATACTAAGTAAAAATAAAGTAAAAAATTGGCAGTTATAGGGACTGCCGATAGAAGTGAAAACTTAGAACTTTTAGTATTAAAATTTGAAATTTCACAATGTTTGAATAAAAATTATCAACATCAATCTGATTTTCACATCTATTGACACTCCGAGCAACAATTATATGCATGTTTATATGGTTTTTTATTATTCAAATATTTACATAAATTTCAATGTACTCGATTTTTAACATTGTTTGCATCACTGTCATCATTAATTTCAACAATTCTATGTATAGATACAGATATACTCAGATATATACTGCTACAAACATGTCGGTGACGCGAACGCACTAGATTTCACCCATCCAAAAAGCGTCTAACGCCTACAGCACACGGCCGCTGCGCGTGCGCCATTCGGGAGCATGTTGGTGACGCGAACCCATAATATTTTCCCCTGCCAAAAAGTGCCCAACGTCGCTAAAGAAGTTTTCACTTCAATTATGGGTAACTCTAGGAAGTCGGATAACTCAGATAAAAAAAGTATAGATGCATAAAAGTTAGAAGGTGCTACAGGTCAGACAGATCAAGATATCGCGGATAGAAAAGGGTACAAAAGGCTAAAACATCCCACTTTAGTTTCTGGGAAATTGAAGAACAGATAGAATAGGAATGTGTGGAGGTGCTTGTCCTGTCTGGTTGGAGTCAGTCTTCGCATATTCTCGAAAACTAGAGAAATTTAGGTGCATGATGATAATGCCATCAAATTAACATTGTATGTAGATATCTACAACTTCTCATTTTCTTCAGTGTCATTTCGCTCAATTCGACGAGAACTTTTACTAATAGTTTTTGTTTAACTTACCGTCCAAACCATTGCATCTGCAATCATGCTGCCTATGTTACATTCACCTGACCAACACTTATTGAGATCCAATAAAACCGTCGTATTTCCAACGACTTGCGTCTTATAAACGTCCAAGGCTGATTTCCACTCGTCTAACTCTCTATTAATTTTTTCGTCTAAAATAAAACTTAGGTATCACTAAAAATATAATGACTGCATTTTCTTAAGAAACCATTAAAAGTAAATAAATTCGGTAAATCTGGAAGCAGATTTTTAGTGGATTTAAAGCTATTCTCAATTATGACAATACCAGTTTTATTGTACAGTTATAACGTAATACCTTGTGGGAAAGAACTGTCGACAAATATCGGTCCTCCATCCCATCCGACTACGTTCCCATTGGAATTGTAGTAAACAGTTAAATTTCCTAAATATTTACTGAAGGATGATGCTTGGACTATAAGAATCTTTCGTCCATCTTCGTGATTGATTACAGTAGGATAATCTCCAACAGGTTTATCTGGCCCAGGGGGTTTGTCTCCTAAAATTAAGATGTGGGTGAAATACAGTTGAAGCAAAAAGTTGAAGCTAAGTACCTGTATACAGGAAATAGTGGCTATGACCACCAACTATGAGGCTTATTTTCTGTGTAGCATTTTTGGCGATTTCTTGATCTATATCGTATCCACAGTGCGATAAAACGATTATGGTATCAACGTTTTCTTCAGCTATCAGTCGGTCTGCTTCTCTGTTGACTGAAGCAGATTCTCCGAGGAATATCAGATTTCCTGGATGTGATATTTTCTGAAATGGGTTTATGTAATGGAAGAAGGGTCATACAAGGTGTCCAGAAACAGTGTGGGGGTATTTGTATCTGCACTGTCCTTGTAACGGAGTAACGGTGCGTTTCGGAGGGGTGCGATATTGATAGGTTGTTTAAGTACTTTTTGGTGATGTAATGATTATGTTATGGAAGTGTATGCGGGAGACCATTGTGCTTTTTGAGTACGCGTCTATTATCAATGTGCGGAATGCACCGAAGGACGATACCATCAGAAAATGGATTCGAATGTTCGAGAATACCGATTCGACTGAAAAAATTTATAATCCAGGTCGCCCGCACTCTGTTCAAACCCAAGAAACGATTGAAGAAATGAGAGTGTCAGTGTGTGAAAATCCGTCTCAATCAGTTCGCAAACGCAGTCAAGAACTTGACATTAAAAAAATCGTCGTTACAGAAAATACTGAAACAAGATTTACATCTTACAGCCTACAAAATTCAGTTAGTTCAAAAATTGAACGTTAACGATTATCCTCTCCGAATGAATTTTGCAAATGAAATGCTTCAACGCTTTCCAACGTTTGAAAACATTCTGTTTAGTGGCAAAGCGAAACTTTCACTTAAATGGTCACGTAAACAAACAGTACTGTCCTTACTGGGCCAAAGAAAATCCAAGACATAAACATAAACAGTCACTACAAAGTCAAAAAGTTATTGGATGGGCTGCCATGTCTGGTGAAGGCATTATTGGGCCTTCTATTTTTGAAAACTGACGAGGGCGAACACTTACGGTAAACAGTGACCGGTATTGTGACAAGTTAAGAAACTTTTTGGTTTCACAACTGTAAGAGTTTGGTAGTTTTTAAGGTGGAAAGATGATTTCAACAGGATGGGGTCACTTGCCACACCTCAAACCAATCGCTTGCGGTTGTCAACCAACTTTTCTCGAAAAAACTGATCTCTCGTCGTGGCATCATGAACTTAGCCTCCGAGAAGCCCCGATCTCACAGCCTCCTGATTATTTTTAATGGAGATATCTTAAAGAGAAGGTGTATGTAAACAAACCACGATCTCCACTGGTATTGAAGCACAATATCCACACCGAAATGGGGGTTGTTTCCAAAGAGATTTGTAGATGTGTGACGGCTAATTTCCGTTTTCGGTTGGAGGAGTGCTAGCAACGCGAGGGTCAACATTTGGACAACATCATCTTTCGCACTTAATTATCCAAAACTTTGTTTAAAAATAATAAAAAAATACCCCCTACTCATTCTAGACACCCTATATTCTTGCAATAAAAATAGCAAACGCCGCAGCGACTGAGCAGAAAAATAATCCCAGATTAATATAAAGACGTGAACATTACATTTAAAAAAGCTAAATATAAAGTTAATGTGATAATATCTATCTTCTACAACTGCCCGTTAATATTACCTTTGTTGTGGAAACAATGGCACCTATTATTCCTATTCTTCGTCCATCTACAGTAAGGACAGTACTTTTATTGTAAAGTCCTTGAAACTCAGCTTCTTTTTTATCATCAATGTTTGAAACTATAATAGGAGAATTGAGACCTTTCATATACGGAACAATTCCACCAATTCCGTCGTCAAATTCGTGATTCCCCAAAGTCTGAATAATAAAACAGTGAAATGGTAAGTAATACACAATATACAACTATAAAAGAAAAACATCACTTATAGAACGTATGATAAATAACCTGTGATAATTTTAAGATTTTAGTTAGAAAGTATTCCATTACTTAATCTAGTCATTTATTGACCCCTACAATCTCTACAGTTTAGGACAAGAACCTGCCTACCCTAAATGTAAAGCTAAGTTAAGTACAGGTCTGACGAAGGAAGCTGGCGAGCGGTCGCGCAGGTACTTGCCCATTTATGACCTATTTGGGTAAGTCACTTGGAACCGATACACAAATAAGCTTTCAGTAGGCGTAAATTATAGTATTAATACAGATAGGGCAGTAGCGTACTAGAATATAATGTAAAAACATGACTTATCAGAAAGAAAAAAATAACTTATTGCTTTTGTTTGGTAGTTAGTTTTCACATTCACTCTCATCATGGGAATCTCTATCACTGTCACCAACATCAACAATTAGTTCTTCTGTTTGTCTGTCTATTAGTTGCTCACTGATCCCTATTTTTAAATATTTAATCTACGCCCCTGTACAGGCCTGGCGCTGGAAGCTGGCGGAAATTTTAAAATGGCGTGGATGCGCGGTAGCAAAAGTAGGCAGTTTTAGATATAAAGTTTACAGCCCTTATTCTTCAGTATTCCTATCAGGGGCGTAGATTACATATTTAAAAGTAGGGATCATTGAGCAAGTAATAGACATACAAACAGAAGAACTAATTGTTGATGTTGGTGACAGTGATAGAGATTCCCATGATGAAAGTGAATGTGAAAACTAACTATAAAAGAAAAGCAATAGGTTAATTTTTTCTTTTTGATAAGTCATGTTTTTACATTATTTTCTAGTATGCTACTGTCCTATCGGTATTAATACTATAATTTATGCCTACTGAAAGCTTATTTGTGTATAGGTTCCAAGTGACTTACCCAAATAGGTCATAAATGGGCAAGTACCTGCGCGACTGCTCGCCAGCTTCCTTCGTCAGACCTGTATCTTCCTTATAGCGGCCATCACCGAGCGGCATGGCCTAGAGGCTTAGACAATTGCTTAGCATTCGGGAGGACGCCGGTTCTCTGATCTAAGTTTTTCTGTGGTTTCACTTAGGCAAATGCTGGGGCAGTACTACTCCACATAAAGTCTTTCATTCTCTTCTGACTTCATTTCGTCCGTCTCATCTTTCTCACCCGAACCAGCACTCACCCATTCCCACGATTCCTGAAAGCAGGCTGAAGAGGGCCTTTCGCCCTACCTTCCGGCGTAGTCCGGAGGGACTGCCCGCCCACCAGCATTACTAACTGGTGGGAATGAAACAACCAAAAGATTTTTTTATCGGCCATCTAACTGGCCTAAAAGCTCTTGGTCTTTTATTATTTTATTAGGTTTGTGTTGTCAAAACATGCTAGATAAAAACTATCGATCAAACCAAAGCTATTGTAGCCCAACAACACCACTTAAGAATCAAAGAAAGGCAGCTCAACTCTACCTGTAGCTATTTCGTGAATATAAATTCTGTTTGTTATGTGTTATAACTTATTACATAGGTACCTCTTGCCATTTTGATAAAATCAAAAGTATTAATCTTCTACTTTGCATCAGTCAATTGAAAACTTGCTGAATATTTTTTTAAACGTTAGCCCAAATCCTTTTTCAAAAGATTAATATAGAATATACTCACGCTGGCATTTAAATGCAGTAAATTCATGAAATGTAATGTAGCATTCCACTTGAAAATATTGTACCAAATGGTCCCTTGGAAGTTATCTCCGGCATTAAGGACAATAGGGTTAGGCCTTGTCTTTCGAAGAGTGTCTATTAGTGTGAACGTTCGTGAAAAACCTCCAACACATTCTGTAACGTTCGAATTACAACTCTCTAATGTTTTGTAACTTATTGGTTCGAATCTAAAATAGAAATAAACTTATCAAGATGATTGGAAAGAACCAGGGTCGACAATTAGTATAAAAGTAGCCCCCGCGACATTTTTCTAAAATAAGTAAATATAAAATTAAAACGCAAAATGAAAATGAACATCTAATTATTTCTGATGTCATTATATCATTATCTGTTAATTTGCAAACGTTTCATCCTCGAAGATACAGAATATCTTCAGATTGGGAGTGATGAATGAGGTGAAAGACAAAAGAGGAGTAAAAGAATATTGTGATTCTGTAAATTTAAAACTGTGGGTACACTCTACACACTATACGGTAAATACACATTTACGCAAGCAATAAGTTAGCATTTCTATCGTCGTTGTCGATTGACCAAAATGTGAGATAGTCAATTCAAATACAACTAATGTAAATAGTTTTAGTCTCATAAAAAGACTCATTTTCATCTGGCTATTGTAGTATTAATATTAGCCTAAATATATTCTACTCAAAAGGATAGAAAAGATACAGAAGTCGCAATTGTAATGTTCGTATAGGTACTTTTCATCGTTTAGCTAAGGTGCAGACAGGAATTTATTTAGGTGGGGGGGGGGCTTTAAAGTCTTTCGAAAATCAAAATCTGTTTAAAAGAGATATTTCGATATTCTCTTTATTTTTGAGAACTATGTGCTATACATACACTCTTTATCATACAGAGACCATTCGCTGTGCCTTTAGTCATAGTAGAGATTAGCCACGATTTGATGAGTTGCAATTTGGACCGAAACCTTTTGATGGTGCTTGTAGTAGGTACATGCAGTCAAGAGTTAACATAATCGCTATATGCTCGGAAGGAATACCTCTGCCTTCTTCAATACTTTCACGAAATTGAGGTAATAGAAGATTTCCTTTTTCATTTTTTTATCACATCAACTTAATCTGCAAATTTCTTAATAATGTGTTCTATATACTATATTAAATTAGGAATATTTGTAACACCTTATTTTTAAATACAATTTATAATCAGGATGCACCAAAGATAAAGAATAAGCTGGTAGATTGCTATCAAAAATTTTTTCGTAATGGAGGATGTCAATGAAACCAAGTATAACGCAATATGTAAAGGTATCTTCCTCAGAAAACCATGTGACTATGTCTTGAACACGGTTTTTATTTTTTTTATTTTACTGTTTCTATGTATTAAAAATTACACTTTCTATAAGCAATCTAATACTCCAATCAGCAATTTAAAGTGCTTCCATGTCTATAATTGATTAATTAATTGAAAAGTAGAAGTGTCAATTGGAAAGCAGTTCATAGAGTTCGTTCACCTACATATTACACTATATTATAAGTGAGTACAATATCAATATTTGTAGGTATATACTTATGTCTTATGTACCTATTCATAATTCAAAATGCTTTGCGTTCAAAAAATTGTAATATCTAGGATTGCCTCTGTGATTCGTATACAAGGTGAGTCATTAAATCAAAATCGGTCATTCATACACGTATACTTCAAAATAGAGAAAAATTGTTTCAAACAAAAGTTGTATCGACTTATGTGCGTAATAACATAAAAATATTTCCAAATACGACAGACTTCCGATTATATCAGAAATATACAGTAACTTCGTTATTTTAAATGTAACCTCCTACTTCTTATTGAATTTTCGAATTTCCTAAAAGAAACAATGTCAGTTTATTAAAATGTATTGGACTAGGGTCGCACCATTCCGGAGTTATTTCACGCTTCTTAAAAAATTTGATGTTTGCAGTGTTTGGCACTATTTGAAATATCTCAAAAACGAAAGGATTTAGAGGTTTTTCATATTCCGTTTCTGGAAGAAATTGCCTATCATCTGTAAGTATTAGGTAGACACGTATATGACAAATAGTATGATAATTATCGGCGCCAATATTCTCAAATTCAAACAGGTATAACTTTGTTTTCTTAAATGAAATGCCATATTTTTTCTCGCGTAGTATTATGTATAATAAAAATTTATTCTATTTAAAACATTTCCGGTAGAACCGGAAGTCCACCATGTTTAAAAGTATTTTTAGGTTATTGTACACTTAACTCTGTACAACTTTTATTTGAAACATTTTTCTCTGTTTTGAAGTATACGTGTATGAATGACCGATTTCGGCTTAGTGACTCACCCTGTATATATATATATGTATATAATAAGCATTTCCTAACTTAACAAGGTGTTCTAGCCTTGTAAGGGCTCGTATCAGGCAATATCCTGCTGCTACCTATTAGTAGTGTAGAATAAACCGGCACCACCAAAACTAATTAGCGGTGCTATTCGTTATTGAGATGAGAACGCATAGACGTTTAATTTATTCGGAATTTTATCTTGAACTTACAACTACTATAGACCTTAATTTACACTATGTACAAAACTATCTTAGCTGTCTGCATTATGTGATATGAGTTTGAAATTATATGAATATCTTTTCGCATTACATGATCTCTTTTAATGATGTGAACCTCTCTTAGAAACTAAAAACTACAACTTAAATAAACTTCAATATGTAAATAAAGGGGATGAGTGTTGGAGTCTCTAAATATTATGGATGACAAGCTTCATTGGTAGTTTTGGTAGACACAATAATCCCAGATTTCACCATCTGACCCATTTCCCAGTGAAACTTTAAGGGACAATAAAATTAATTACTTTGAGTCCTCGATGAACCTGCATATCACAATACATAACAGCCTTCTTGCTGACCAATTTGTACTTCAGATTTATTACAGTATCATCCATAACACTATTTTACGCATAGGCACAAAAGAAACCCTTCTCGAAATCGAAACAAAAAATTTTGATTTTGATAGAAACTATTATTTGAAAAAAGCAGACGTTAAAAAGAAACTGAATTTTGAGTGAGATGAATTGATGAATAGGACTCGAACATAACGGCGTGTCCAAAACTCAGCAAATTACTACAGTTCCAAGTGGAAACAAGAAAGAAGATACATCAGTTCTCACAGATAATATAATTTATTGTGGACTTCGCCAATTTTGATCCTCGCAATTATAAGTTTCATACTGTAAATACTTAAAATCGCTACGCTAAACTTGTGTGAGGTCTCGCGTTGTCTTGGTGAAACACTACACCTTTCCTGTTGATTAGTTCTGACCTTTTCTGTTGAAGTGCATCATTCAGTTTGTCCAGCTGATGACAGTAGACTTCCGAATTAATCGTTGTGTTATCCGGTAAAAGCTCAAAAAAAACGATTCCTTTAAAATCCCACCAAACAGACAGCATCACCTTTTTTTGGTGAATATCGGCTTTGGAAATGGTTTGAGCCGGTTCATCTTTTTTGCTCCATGACCTCTTGCGTTTGACGTTGTTGTATACAACCCATTTTTCGTCCCCAGTGATGATGCGCTTCAAAAACGGATCATTTTCGTGACGTTTGAGAAGCGAATCGCAGACGTCAATGCGGCGACACAGATTTCTCTCTGTGAGAACATGGGGAACCCATACATCGAGCTTCGAGGATAATCCCAGGCCTTTCAAGTGGTCATAAACTGTTGAATTTGATAAATTTAACCTCAATCCGATCTCACGTGTTGTTATTCGCCGGTTCACATCAACTAATGCGTTTATCGCGTCTTTATCAGCTTCAACCGGCCTTCCCGAACGTAGTGCATCTTCGACATCAAAATTGCCCGATCGAAATTTAGCGAACCAGTTCTGGCACTGGCGTACTGTCAACACACCTTCTCCATACACATCAGTCAATTTCTTTCTGGCTTGAACAGCATTTTTACCCTTTCTGTAGTAAAACAGTAAGATATGTCGAAAATGCTGCTTATCGCTCTCCATATTTAAAAGGGCACCAACCAAAAACAACTGCGTAGAATTAATTGGAATTTTTCACACACAAGCCTTGCTATATGAGCTCTCAAAGCATATAAAAATTATACGGCTTAAATGTGAAGTTGGGTGCAAAAGAATACAATTAAATCCTCTGTCGGGAAAAAACGAAATGACTTTCCGAACAACCCAATAGATATAATTAATTAAAAGACCACGTGGTCAACACGAAGACGATTCCAGTATCAACGAATAATATAAAATTAAATATAAAACAATATTTCTTTAAAATCATAAGTTAATCTATATGCTGATTATAATTAATTATAATTGGCAATGCAAACTGCAGTATTTTTATTAATTAATAATAAGGCAATTAAATGAGAAGTAAATAAACCGTCTAGATTAAGTTAAGAATTTTTTTTAACCAAAGCGAATGCACAATGACAAGTGTGAATCGTCACCCGTTTGAAACAATGAAACATCTCATCATTTATTTAATTTCTCACTTCAACTTAACAATAATGCAAATCAAAATCACGTTCCAATCAGAGAGTTGAATATACAGCAATGAAGCAAAGTGATACTATAAAATGATAGTAAAATTTAAAAAGGCATTTGTGAATAAAATGAGTTTAAACAACAGTCAAGGTGGCCTTCAATGATTAAATTTTCCCAATCAACGCCTCCCGAGTTCTAGATAATTGCGACATGTGCATTCCATCTTGACAGATGAAGATTCACTGCAAACACTGCACTCGAAAGAAGCCGGATAGAAAATAAGAAACGCAATGTTTGGTCATAATTTTTTTAACTAACAAAAACGAAATAAAAGTTTCAAATGAATCAACGAATTTTATTAAAAAAAATTTTTTAACAAACAATAAACGAGTCCATGAGCAATAAGAACTAGATTGCAACAAATATTTTAAGACATAAGTACAATCAATAAGTCAATAAGTAAGTCTGGTTAGATTGAAGGCAGTTAGTTATTTTTGGTAACTATAAATGCTTATTGTTGTAGTACAGAAATCTTTTCTTACAGTTCAACATAAACCCTATATGTAGGTATTATAAAAACGAAAATAATTAAAGTACTATATTATACGGTAATAGCAGACAGATATGAATTCAGAAGATAAGATTCAGCCAAAAAACCTTCAAAAGATNTTAGGTGACCTCGGTATAAAGGAAATTTTGAAAGAAATTAAAATACAACAACTTCGCATACCTACTGCCTTAAACTAACGGTTGAAAATTACTTGAATTATTACCTTTTGTTGTTTTCTATTTATGATTGTATATGATAAGCAGTATGCGGAAACAATTACAGTTGTTAGCAGTGTATAACCATATACATGCCTTGGTATATGTAGGTACTAAAAACATAAGTAATTTATTATGGTCTAACTAGTTTATTATTTTTAGATGATTTTCATCATCTTCATAAGTTTAAGACTTAAGACTGGTTGGACACGTATCACCACTCTTTCCTATTCTGATCAAACTTCGCATTTCCCCAAAACTAGAACAGCCCACATCCTTAACTATTTGCGAACAGTAATTTAATCTAGGTCTACCTCTAACCTTCCTAACTCCCGCTTCTGCCTCTAATATGTCTCTGACTAGACTTTCATGCCTGCGAAGGTGTCCTACCAACCTATCTCACCTATTTCTTATTGACTTCCATAAAGTTCTTTGTTCTCCTATTTTTTCAAGTACCTCTTCATTTCTAACCTTTTCTTTTCCGCCGCACCCGTACTGCGCCGTGTTCCAAACATACACCTCTAACAGCCTTTTTCGCATTTCTTAATTAACCGTTCACGATCATAGAAGTGACTTCTTTTTATTAAAGGCGACCCAACCCTGCGCTATCCTCTGCTTTATATCCCTACAACTCCTTCCGTCCTGACTTATTTGACTTCCTAGATGCCTAAAATCGGCCACTAATTTTTCGTCTCCTATTGTTATATTCGCTCTTTCTCTATTTTTTCTTCGCAGTGCCGGTAGTTTTATTTTAATTGATCTCCCCCTAATAGTTCAAGTAATAGTAACAAAGTAATGCCGGTTTTTGTTAGGTGACCTCGGTATAAAGGAAATTTTGAAAGAAATTAAAATACAACAACTTCGCATACCTACTGCCTTAAACTAACGGTTGAAAATTACTTGAATTATTACCTTTTGTTGTTTTCTATTTATGATTGTATATGATAAGCAGTATGCGGAAACAATTACAGTTGTTAGCAGTGTATAACCATATACATGCCTTGGTATATGTAGGTACTAAAAACATAAGTAATTTATTATGGTCTAACTAGTTTATTATTTTTAGATGATTTTCATCATCTTCATAAGTTTAAGACTTAAGACTGGTTGGACACGTATCACCACTCTTTCCTATTCTGATCAAACTTCGCATTTCCCCAAAACTAGAACAGCCCACATCCTTAACTATTTGCGAACAGTAATTTAATCTAGGTCTACCTCTAACCTTCCTAACTCCCGCTTCTGCCTCTAATATGTCTCTGACTAGACTTTCATGCCTGCGAAGGTGTCCTACCAACCTATCTCACCTATTTCTTATTGACTTCCATAAAGTTCTTTGTTCTCCTATTTTTTCAAGTACCTCTTCATTTCTAACCTTTTCTTTTCCGCCGCACCCGTACTGCGCCGTGTTCCAAACATACACCTCTAACAGCCTTTTTCGCATTTCTTAATTAACCGTTCACGATCATAGAAGTGACTTCTTTTTATTAAAGGCGACCCAACCCTGCGCTATCCTCTGCTTTATATCCCTACAACTCCTTCCGTCCTGACTTATTTGACTTCCTAGATGCCTAAAATCGGCCACTAATTTTTCGTCTCCTATTGTTATATTCGCTCTTTCTCTATTTTTTCTTCGCAGTGCCGGTAGTTTTATTTTAATTGATCTCCCCCTAATAGTTCAAGTAATAGTAACAAAGTAATGCCGGTTTTTGTTAGGTGACCTCGGTATAAAGGAAATTTTGAAAGAAATTAAAATACAACAACTTCGCATACCTACTGCCTTAAACTAACGGTTGAAAATTACTTGAATTATTACCTTTTGTTGTTTTCTATTTATGATTGTATATGATAAGCAGTATGCGGAAACAATTACAGTTGTTAGCAGTGTATAACCATATACATGCCTTGGTATATGTAGGTACTAAAAACATAAGTAATTTATTATGGTCTAACTAGTTTATTATTTTTAGATGATTTTCATCATCTTCATAAGTTTAAGACTTAAGACTGGTTGGACACGTATCACCACTCTTTCCTATTCTGATCAAACTTCGCATTTCCCCAAAACTAGAACAGCCCACATCCTTAACTATTTGCGAACAGTAATTTAATCTAGGTCTACCTCTAACCTTCCTAACTCCCGCTTCTGCCTCTAATATGTCTCTGACTAGACTTTCATGCCTGCGAAGGTGTCCTACCAACCTATCTCACCTATTTCTTATTGACTTCCATAAAGTTCTTTGTTCTCCTATTTTTTCAAGTACCTCTTCATTTCTAACCTTTTCTTTTCCGCCGCACCCGTACTGCGCCGTGTTCCAAACATACACCTCTCTTTTGTTATAACTATTATACGTTTAAGATCTTATTAGGTACTGCTTTATTTGTAATTGGTGCTTTGCCGCGTGACGATACATATTTTATTGCTGAAACACGTTTATAGTATCGAACAATTAATAAAATTAGGTATTGTCCATTCATTTAGAGAAAGGTACAGTAAGGGAAACGTGCACGTGTGGTGGGTCTCCGGAATATGTTCGGTCATTTACCGTCAGGTGTTTCCGATCAAAGCCCAAACGTAAGCCTCTGACGCTGTAAATGGCTTCTAATAGTTACGCCCATCAACACAAAACGCTGACATCGATCTGCAATTGTGTACCTTTCTCTAAGTGAACTAACTTTACAATAGCGATGCGACGGACGCGTCGTAACGGAAATAGAACTAAATAGTAAATTTTTGCGGAAACGGAAGCGGATGCGGAAGTATAATGATTTTAGGTGATTCTTTAATGCATTTGTATTTAGCACTTGCATTGTTTATATTAAGAAAATAATCTCAAATGGAAATGGAATATATACAAAATACATAAACGCTATTACTTTATTAGTATTTCAAAAAGAAATTATTAGGACATGCAGCTTTGAACGAGCAAGTCCATTTCAATTGTGTTTTGAAAACGGCCAAGTTCAGCCAGCAGATAAAAGTAGTAAATTTTTACGACTTGTTTCATTGCTCCGAAATATGTAAATATAAAAATACGAAACCAGATGTAGAAGCGGATGTGAAAAAGTATGCGGAACTTCCGTAATTAGCGAAGCAGAGGTCTGTTGCAACACCTACAGAAACGGTTACATTTTTAACAGTAAGAAGTAACTTTAGTTGGAAAATTAACTAAAGCAGGAACGAAACTTTTAGAAATTAAAAGTTGAATTAACAATTGATAGCTGATGCTCTAGTAACAGTTCAGACACATCCATATATAGTAGATACAAAATAATTAATTTTTGATCGATTTTAATTGTTGTAAAGACTGATAATTCTTGAATAAGCTTTACTGTAGTTCCGTTAATTATTTAATATAATCAATGGTAATTTATTAAAAGTAAATAAATGTGCATAAGAATCTAATCAAAAAAGTGGGATATGTGGTATTTATGTGGGGATAGATCAAAACCTCAATATATTTCTTTTTTAGTTTTCGACACTTTTTCGAACACTAAATGGCTATTCAAGCCATATGCTTTTCTTCTAGAAAATTTATTAATTTTAATGGTACTGTAACGTCTTTCCGCATCTATAATAACATATAATTTATTTAATAGTCTGGCATTTGAAATAGACTAGAATATTTAAAGTAGACGATATCGTACAAACCTGGCATGAAAATCGTTTAGGTGGATCACGGACAAGAGAAAGTCGTGCTGGATTTCCCCCGCGGTAGGTGCAGAACGCGCAACGTCTTGATGACAAGTAATAACACAAATTGCAATCACAAACTTCACAGTATCAAGATTTATGTCCATTGTATATCGGAACAACAGCGAGAGAGACTGAATTTAACTCGATGTAAGTAGGACTGACGCGAACAGAACGGAACAATTCAAATGAAGCAAGTTAAGTAACTTAAGTGTGCCGCTTATAAAGCTGTTTTTATTTTTATATCGCTTCAACAAAATTGTGAAGTATCAAAACGAAAAAATTAGGTGTATGCACCTTTGCCACAGGTGGGTAACAAATTTGTATAGGTAATACATACATGAGCGGTTTTGTGTGCAACAGTAACCGGCTTCCATTTATACAAACTAAGTACCAAATTCAACCTTGATAATAAGTTGGTTTTGTTCATAGCGAGCTGCGCGCGGAACGAATAGATCTGTACAGTGTAATTTAAAAAAAAGGGGAACCTTACTCTATATAATTGGTGTAAATATTGTAGTTATAAGTAAATAGAACTTACGAATGGGAGTGGGAGGTAATTTGCATTAAACGGCAATCAGTTTGGTGTTAAATCTTTGATTTATTTGTGACGCAATTGATATCACATTAGTCCCTACATAATGATTGGAGAAATGGGTTTTAACTTTGAAATCAGGAATGAGCTCAAAAAACATTTTAAAAATAGAGAGGGCCACACTGACCGAAATCTATTCATATATTAAGGTAAGTAAAAATAAAAAAAGTGCCGGTTTGTTTCTAAAATCGTTTCCACTTCTCTATTTTCTTGTTTTGTTTCAAATTCAAAAATACTGAAACGCTTTATTAACTGTAAGAATTTGTTGTTGGATACAATAATTAATTGGGTTGGGATTGGAATTTTTTATTGCTTTTTCTATGATCCAAAAATCATTTTTGAGATCAATATAGCGTCTTGAAAACAGCGGAGATTCAATACGCTTTTATGACCTTGGAGAAAGCGCGTGACCTCATTTCTCTGTAGTAGACAGCTAGCACGTGCTGCGGCTGCTACAGGTAATGAAAGGTGGCGTTTACTGTTTGCATAGTTATTAATAATCAAATATGCTTATCTTGAGTAAATTACGTAAATTCGAGCTTGATTCATTCGCTATTTTTAAAAAAATCGTTTCACCTTAGCTTCCTAACGATAGACAACAAGACGAGATAAAAAGATTTGTATTTTGTATTTCCATTTTTATAAAAGATATTGTAGATATTTTGGGCATTTTGTAGACCTATAAGAAGTTCACTTTTTTTGCTATTCCTTCTACATAATTGTTGTAGCATGTACAGGAGCAAACACACCTTTTTGTTTAACAATGGAGTTCCTAAATTTAACAAATACTGTATAATGTCAGAGGAACAAGTTTGTTTTAATACACCTCGTGATGCTTTTAAATAAGATTAAAATTCTTGGCCCATTTTTTTTATATTCACCTTGGTTATCAACATCGCCTTCAGAATTGGAATTTTTAATGTAAATTTTTAAGTCCACAATTTGTCCATAAAAGAAAATACTCTTTCTACTGGGTCATTTGTAGCAGGCAAGCAAAAAACATATTCAATTAAAATACAAAAGTTTTCATGTTGAATATTGTTGGCGTGAAAGTGTTCGAATACTTCCACCCAACGAGATTCTGTGGAAACATTTAGAATATTTTTTGCGGTTATTTTTTTCGATGTAATGTAGTTAGAAATTAATGAAAATTCGCCTTCAGAATTGGAATTTTTAATGTAAATTTTTAAGTCCACAATTTGTCCATAAAAGAAAATACTCTTTCTACTGAGGCATTTGTGGCAGGCAAACACAAAGCATATTCAATTAAAATACAAAAGTTTTCATGTTAAAGATTGTTGGTATGAAAGTATTCGAATACTTGCACGCAACAAGTTTCTGTGGAAACATTTAGATTATTCCATTCAGTTATTTTTTGCGATCTGATGTGCATAGAAATTAATTAAAATTCGTCAAGTACTTCTGTATCTTTATTAGAATCAATATGTCCCTTTTCAATCAGAACTTCTTCCCATACGGGCATTTACTTCGGTAAGAGAGTGACCCCACTGTTCCAGATAATCACGGCTTATCTTACAAAATTCTGTAGCCGTATTATCACAAATTTTTATTAATATCGGTGCCATTATCTTTCAATCCCACCATTAAACTATGAACCGTAAATGGAAGAAAGTGATTGGTCTATTTCTAAGCCAAATTGACTGACGCGTGCAGCGAGTTTCAAAATTTTCGCACGGTTTCTGAAAACGGGACAATTGTGTGTCCCGAAGCAGTTTTTGAGGACAATGAGACCGGTAATCTAAAAAAGGGATGGTGCCGTTCAAAATGGGACGTATGGTCACGTTAGGTATCCTCCACAAACACAGAACCGATTTGTGCGAATGATCAGTTATCGTCCGGGAGTGATGGAAGTCGTTACTTGTACATGTAAAATGTATGATAATAATTTTTTTAATAAATTTACCCGCGTGTACAAAAATTGTAAATACATTTTTTAGTTTGTTAAACAAATACTTTATTACTGTTTATTGGGTATCGCCTAAGATGAATCAATCAGTAGACTTTGGTTGAAATAAACCTAACCTAACCTATCGGAAATATAGACATTTATTGTCTGCACGAGATCTCAAAACTGGCATTTTTAAAACGGTTGACTGCCATCTGGGAATAATGTGTTTCATTATATTCTGCACTTATAATTAGGTACCAGGGGCGCAACAAAGGGGGGCCCACGGGTGCCTGGGCATTCAGTCAATTCCGGTCGATTCTGATAACAACCCAACTTGAAAGTTCGATTCAAATATAGGGTTGTTCGGAAAGTCATTTCGTTTTTTTTTGTGGAAATGAAAGACAGTTTTCGTATAATAAACAAATACTTTACTAAATTATATATTGACCGTTCTGGTCCAACACCTTTTGCCATCTTTCTGGTAGTAGCATAATTCCACGTTCATAAAATTCAAATGAGGAGGTTTTTGACCTCCTCATTTGAGGTGAAGGTTTTACCGTCTAAAAAATTTTGGAGTGACCGGAACAAATAATAATCCGATGGTGCCAGGTCTGGTAGCATTGTATCCCATTCAAGCTGTAAAAGCTTTTGGCGAGTGACCAAACTTGTGTGAGGTCTCGCGTTGTCTTGGTGAAACACTACACCTTTCCTGTTGATTAGTTCTGACCTTTTCTGTTGAAGTGCATGATTCAGTTTGTCCAGCTGATGACAGTAGACTTTCGAATTAATCGTTGTGTTATCCGGTAAAAGCTCAAAAAAAAACGATTCCTTTAAAATCCCACCAAACAGACAGCATCACCTTTTTTTAGTGAATATCGGCTTTGGAAACCGTTTGAGCCGGTTCATCTTTTTTGCTCCATGACCTCTTGCATTTGACGTTGTTGTATACAACCCATTTTTCGTCCCCAGTGATGATGCGCTTCAAAAACGGATCATTTTCGTGACGTTTGAGAAGCGAATCGCAGACGTCAATGCGGCGACACAGATTTCTCTCTGTGAGAACATGGGGAACCCATACATCGAGCTTCGAGGATAATCTCAGGCCTTTCAAGTGGTCATAAACTGTTGAATTTGATAAATTTAACCTCAATCCGATCTCACGTGTTGTTATTCGCCGGTTCACATCAACTAATGCCTTTATCGCGTCTTTATCAGCTTCAACCGGCCTTCCCGAACGTGGTGCATCTTCGACATCAAAATTGCCGGATCGAAATTTAGCGAACCAGTTCTGGCACTGGCGTACTGTCAATACACCTTCTCCATACACATCAGTCAATTTCTTTCTGGCTTGAACAGCATTTTTACCCTTTCTGTAGTAAAACAGTAAGATATGTCGAAAATGCTGCTTATCGCTCTCCATATTTAAAAGGGCAGCAACCAAAAACTACTGCGTAGAATTAATTGGAATTTTTTACACACAAGCCTTGCTATATGAGCTCTCAAAGCATATAAAAATTATACGGCTTAAATGTGAAGTTGGGTGCAAAAGAATACAATTAAATCCTCTGTCGGGAAAAAACGAAATGACTTTTCGAACAACCCATAGTTCAAGCTTGTAAATGACTAGCCGAACTCGTTCTTTTCAGCTTATACACACCCGCAGCATATAAATATTTACAGTATTATGATGGAAGCACCCAGATAAACTGTAAGGTTCTTGTGCCCCTGTTGGGTACCTACATAAAAAGCTTTCCAGACAAATTGTGGTTCTATTAGTGATCTTTTCAATACATCCCTAATTAGGCTACCGATTTTTATTCACATGAATCAGTTTAATCAATGCTTGTAAAATTTGGAGACACATCTAAACATATCAATACATATTAGGATACCGCAAGAGTCGGACGTACACGCGGCTCGCTTGACGTCGATATCTACGTTCTACGGAACGATAAGCATTCATATCTCGTAAGACACTCGTCTAGCAGACGTCTCGTGCCTGTCTCGTCAATAAAAAAAAATTCGTATTTGGAACGATCAAAATTGTCACAGTCGAGAATAAATTATCTGTGAGAATGGACGTATAATCTTCTTTGGTTTGTTTCCACTTGGTACTGTAGTCTTTTGCTGCATTTTGGACAAGTCATTGTTAAGTTAGGAAATGCTTCATGAGTAGTACAGACAAAACGAAAAGAAATAACCGAATAATGGGAAGCGATGAAGCGGTTAGAAGTTGTTTAGATACGCAAAAGATCAGGGTCGACTTTATAACTGCCTGGTTGGAATTATATCTTTAAACAAGCGTCTTTACTTTCGTAAATTCCTGAGTATGTTGAACTTTCTTTAAAGTGTGATGCTGGCTACATGCTCAAATTCTGCTTGTCTGTATCTCTTTCTGTTACACATCAATTGGTGTAATTTCGTTATTGATGTCCGCTGCAATTCCTACCTGACATCCCTTTTCTATGCTTATAATATTCCTACAACGTCTGTCCTAGTAAAAGTAGACGTTTTGTTAGCAATCGCTCCAGTCTAGTTAATAAGTTGAAAGAAGAAAGTAAATGCGGCAGTTTTATTGTGGACTATGGAAATTTTGAACGTCCTAACATATGATGATATAGATGTTTCATTCCCACTAGTTACTAAAGGGGTGGACGCCGGAGGGTAAGTTGAAAGGCTCTCTTCAACCTCCATTTAAGAATCTTGGGAATGGGTGGGTGGTGATCTGGGATGAGACCGAGCAGCATAGCCTAGAGGTTTAGACCATTTCTTAGCATTCGGGAGCACGTCGGTTCGATTCAGGGTCCGTCTGCCTTGGTCCAAGTTTTTCTGTGGTTTCCTTGGATCACCTAGGCAAATGCTGAGGCAGTAATATTCCACAGATAATCTTTTATTCTCTTCTGTCTTCATTTCGTCCGTCTCATCTTTCTCACCCGAACCACCACCAACCCATTCCAACGATTACTGAAAGGAGGCTGAAGAGGGCCTTCTGCCCTACCTTCCGGCGTAGTCTGGAGGGACTGCCCGCAGACCAGCATTACTGGCTGGTGGGAATGAAACACTCAAAAGTTTTTTTTCTGGGATGAGAAAGATGAGATTGACGAAATAAAGATAAGACAAGTGAAAAACAATCTGTGGAACATTATTACTGCTCCAACGTTTGGTTGAGTGATTCAAGGAAATTACAGAAA